CAAACCATCAGAATCATACTCATTGGCTTTTCGGGGCCACGCAGAGTCCCCTTCATCAGGCTCCGCAATGATGAAGGGGACCCTGCGTGGCCCAGAAAGCGCTAGTTCTGATGACATGACGTTTTAATAAACAAAGACTGGACTACAATATTCTTGGTGTGCTGGTGACATCCAGCCACCTGGGGAGTGAAAGTCCCACCAAATAAGGGACAGCTGGGAGCTATGAACAAACTATAATAGATTAATTCTGATTGGCTGATGTAGCATACTGTTTGCATATTGCTTTTTGCCTTGTTTTAGTAAGCTTTGTGGAAATGAAAATGAAAATGATGTTTTTCTTACCTGTACCTGAAGTTGGAACCCTTACTACACAGAAAAGGCCTTGGTTTACCCTTAGGCTCTTCAGAAAGACGAAAGAAAGCATGATATTCCACACAGGTTTTCCAGAAGACTTTACAGGCATCTCGGGAGACCATAGTGAATTCCAGAGTATCCTTGCATAAGGTCTGCAAAATGAAATGATTGGCAAGACTGTTAGGATAGCTAGTAGTAGTTACTCATGTTTGCCTGGACTTGATCGGTAATATTGAAGATGTTTTTGTAGCTTCTCCAAGCCACTTCTTAGGTTCCAATAAGTGTCAGCATTTATGTCTACACAGGTAGCACAACACCTTAATCTAATCGCCATGGATCGTGTAGATGTTGATTGTCTAAGAACAGGACTGAAGGTGTGAAATGTGGAACCAACATGTTCTAGTTACAAAATCCCTTTGTATCAGGATGTTAATTCCTCAATTTACATGGCCAAAGGTGTGAATTGTTGTCAAATTTCCTGGGTAGAGATGTTAAAACGGCATGTGGAAGACAGATAGTGTAGAAGGTCCTCACCCCTGTATAGGGACGGTTGTTCCAATTTGAAATCGAGGAATTAACACCTAATGTAGACTTCCTGACATCAAGGATGGGATTAAGTAACTAGAACAGGGTTCCATCCTATTCTTGGACAATCAACATCACCCTCATCCATGGTGATTGGATTAAGGTGTCTGCACTACCCGTGTGGATATAAATGTTGGGGTATCTTTCTGACACTCACTGGAACTAATGAAGTGGTTGGAGAAGCTACAAAACATCTTCAACATTATAGAACAGTTCCAGTTGAATGTGACTAATTACTACCATGGATGTTCAGATACCATGGACCATACTCGCTACAGATACTTTCTCAGCTCCTAGACTAGAGAAAAAGTCAAAAGTTAGGAGGCAGCTGTAATTTTTAACGAGCATACGGAGCTCCTGAGATTTGCGTATCCTTGTGTTAATATGCGCGCGAACAAAACCGGAAGTCCGGCGGTTGTAGAACTCGATAAGTGTGGACAGATCACCGGCCCAAGTGACTCCGTCGGCTAACGAAGGGAATGGGGTCCGGTGACGTCACGGACATAGACAGTCTTTCATGCAGCTATTTATTATGGGAGAGGTGGCCCTGATATATTAAATAGACCTTGTTTGCTGCAAGGTTCTCTTTGAGCTTTTATTTACATATTGTCAGTGGACATAACTTTTACCCAACTTAAAGCTACCCTTCATCACTGTGAAAAAACAAGGTTTATATTCACCTTTCTAATGTGTTGTGTCGCCACTTTTCTGTCTTTAAGGCTCTAGTATGACTGCTATCCAGAATGTTTGGGTTGTATTGGAAAGCCTGTCCCCTGCTGGGCACTGTGGTTCCCCCCACCAGTCACTACATCACTAATACTGTGTAGTATAGTGTCTGGTGGGAGGATACACCCAGAAGTTTCAGATTCTAAAATTCTTCAAGAGAGCAAAGATTTAATAAACCAATAAAATAATCAGCGCTAAGGAAGGACTATATTAGTAGTAGCAGCTGTGCTCAAAGTGTATTAAACATTTAACCGTAAACAATAAAAAAGTGCACTGGGCTATCACACGTGTAAAATATTTGCTTAAGGAATAATACATGAACGTGATCAGAAAAATAGCTCAACAACAAATCAATCACATGATAATTATCTCCCAAACAATAAATCTATAGTTCTTACCTTGTAGTGCATTCATCAAATTAGTATATTAAACGTGTCATACAATAAAAGTAAATGGAACAACATATATAAGAAATAAAGTGAAAATAGGGCTTCAAATGCCCCAATTATCTTCAAAAACAAACAAGAACTAATATCAATATCCTAAGTCAATAATGGACATCGACGTCACCGGGCTCCTCTTCCCTTCGTTAGCCGACGAAGCCACTTGGGAAAGGGGGGAGGGGTCTGGTGACGTCGATGTCCGTGACGTCACCGGATCTCCGACGGGACTCCCGGAAGACCCGGAAGCCGGTGGAGAGGTGAGTGTGTTAATTACTGATTACAATTCTTTTGATCGATCAAAAATTTTAACGATTAATCGAGTAATTATTCGAGTCTTTATTCAACCTCAAATACTATGTGACTATGTGACAGCTTTTCTAAAACAATACACGAATAATGATTTCAGGACAGTGGGGGAAGCGCCATAGCCCTGTCACAGCTACAACCCTGGTATAGTTCTCATGAAAATGTCAAGTATCAGCACTGGTATCTGAACATCCCTAATTACTACTATCTATACCGTAATGGAAATGTAGGTCCCTGTCCTCTATTTTGCATAGTCATTGAATCTACGCATAGTCTTGTATAAAGAGGGACGCCAACATTTTAACAAGATATATGAATTGTTCTTATCATCATTTGCAGTTTGTAGGGTGGATGTGTGGACACGATCTCACAGCAGAAATGGATTAGTTCTGAGGCGAGTTTGACCCTCAGCTATACGAAGGACTACGAGTCAACTTATTTTGGAAACCTGTATAAAAGTAGTCATCCCTGTCATTAAAGTAGATATAGTATCATAAGTGATATCTGTGTGTTCTCGGTTTCTATTTCTCATACGATCCTACTTGTATTTTGTCTATCTGACTAATAACAGGTTCAGGTTTCCATAACAATATCATGACCTGGATAAATGAGAACCTTCACAGGCCTACTGTTCGGATACTGAAAAGATGAGCAATTCATATAAACAACAATGCATTATACAGCCGCCAGTAACATTTCCTGGGTGCTGGTGACTCAACAAGAGCAAAACTGTCCTATTTTTAACTCATTTTACTATTCAAATTTGCTAAGTGTGCTACTTTAAAATGAATTAGAAAAATTGTTTATCATTATTTCTTTCCCGATCGGTCCAATTTTATACCCTTGGGCTGATGCTTTTAGAGCTTGCAAAGGATTCTGGACAATGACTCATGATTGCTACACCTGTAAGTACACATACACATTATTCTCATCACGCTCAGGGAAGAGATAGGCTTTAATTGGCTAAAGACCCACTTAAAATTAAAATGTAGTAATTAAGAAAGCTGCTTCTACTGTGGATTTGTTTTGGGCACAGCGTAAATACATCACATTGCCCAATAAGAGATATTCCACAATATAGAAAGAATAAACATACGAGATGCTCACATCAATATGGGGATGGAGCTTAATCAGGAAATGTTTCCTTTTGAAGCTTAGTTTTCGGATAGTGGCCCAGTTGAAGGTATTTATTTTAGTGTTTCCCTAGAAAAGGAAACAAAAGAGAAATAATGATTTTAGGTGAATCTAAACTTTGACAACCATATTCCTTAAATGCTGCAAGACAGATCAGTTGTGAATGATGTAGAACTTACAGTGGGCATTTTGCAGCTGCTCTATTTCCCGGCCCACTTTAACATCTATTCAGCCACAAAGTACTTGCCCTACTATTGCAAGGAAAAGCGATGATTGGGCAGCACTCCCATTTCCTAGACCCAGCCTCCAATTACATCCATGTATAAAAGCAGGTGATCAGAGCAGGATATTCTTCTTATGTCAAACCCAGAATAGGCTCCAGTGAGAGTAGAATACACCAACGTGCCCAAGCACTGTCACGTGCTAAAATGATCTGCTTCTAATCAGACATTTACTAAGGCCATACACTGCTCTATTTTTCTCATTCAACCCATGGGCTGAACGAACAAAATAGAGCAAATTCCTCCATCAACACTACATGTGTGTCCATCGAGGAATCCCAGCTGTTTGCTTTGTATTCTGACAACGGCCGCTAACAGGATACCCGAGCAGAGCTGGCAGCTCACTGGCTGCTGGCTCTGGTTATACGAAGATTTTCCAGCCAGCTGCTTTGATCAGCTGATCGAGGGATGCCGGCTGAAAGTGTGCTGACAGCGGCACACATTGTGCGAATTCGCACAGTGTATGGGCACCCCAATGGTCCTTTAATTTTATTAATTAGATTGTCAAATCTTTCAAGAACATTACAGAAGAGGTTTACAAAGGGTATATTGAGGAAAATAAAGTCCAATGTAAATTACATTTATGTAATTCACTGTTCACTCATCTATAGCTTTAAAGTCTTACAGGGTTATACACAAAAAACAGTGAAGAGTTTGGAGAAGGTAGGAGAAGTGAACAATCTAGGACAACATAGCCTATATGGAAAACTTCTCCAATTAAACTCACTTTCCAGTTTAGTTATGTTGTTCTAGATTGGTCACTTCTCCTGCCTTCTCCAAACTCTTCACCCTTTTGTGAATAACCCTGTTGGTCTATAGCTTTTGGAGCTGTTGTGTTCCGCTACTTTGTGTCACTTGTTTTAGGGGAATTCACCACAAATACATGATGTCTGCAGTATAATATGGAAATCAGGTGCCAATACTGTCAGTCAACAGTATGTTTGTTATGTGTTCCCATTCACACAGAATACATAAAATTATTACAAAAATATTTCTTACAATTCTAGTGGTTTCTTTGGATCAGGTTTATACATAAGACTCTATAGGCACATATGGCTCAGAATAGCTTAGAATGCACAACTAGGACACAGGGATAGTTTTTAAAAGTGCAATAACATACAATGTACCACCCACGATCTTCAACCCTTTGCTAGGACAGACAGCCTATAACTGGTAATCAAATCTGCCAGCACAGTACAGACAGGGTTAACTCCCCAGCCCCCTCCTTAACATAGCAAAGACAGGTAAGGCTAAGTGGGACATTTCAGCAAGTAAAAAGGTGAGCAGCAATATTACATGTTTGTCATGCTCTGTGAATGTGAACATATAACAAATATAGGGGTTCATCTATAAATAAAACAGGCGGATGCCCTTTGCATGACACTACTGCCCCTAGATGGTGCTGGTGAGTAGAGAAATGTTCCTGTACTTGAACTTTTATAAATGAACCCCATGAAGTAGGTGTTATCCCAGTTTGGCTGCATAAGTGGAAACATACTTACTAAACACTGCTCTGTATTCATTAATATAGAAAATGAATAGAATATATTACCCAGCTGTAACTTGAAGTTCATGGCCAGCTGTATAGCAACAAACCATAAACTGCTCTAAATATTTATGGCCTCTTGTATCTCCAAAATGAACAAGGAAGAGTATCGCATTAGACATTTGGGAGAAAAGGCCAGCTGTCCAGAAGAGCCTTTCTCAAACAGGGTGCCTCAAATATGAGTGGTAGCTGGACTTTAACGTGAAGGGAATGAAGACTGAGGTGAAGGCGGTTCCTGATGTAAAGGGGGAACTTTGATAAGAAGGGGTGTCTGATGTGACAGGGGGGCTCCTGATGCAAAGGGTGACTGATGTGACAAGGGGGCTCCTGATGCAAAGGGTGACTGATGTGAAGGGGAGGGAGAAATCTTGATTTGAAGGCGGCACTTCGATGTGAAGGGGGAAATCCACTATTTTGTGTGTTTTTGCGTGGGGTCCACTTAAAATCCATGACATTTTAGACTGGAGTGCCTCAACATTATGCATACGTTTAAAGGTGTGCCATGAGTAAAAAAAAAATTGAGAAATGCTGCTCTAGAATATTTATTTCTGTCGAAGATTTCAGTGGAGTCTCCCTGTATAATTATCCTCAGCAATAGACTTACACATGATTGTACTGACCCGTAACACCAGGACTCCCATGTGAGCAACTGCAAGGTTGATTTGCATGCTCTCCCCATCGATAGCCTGATGAGGTCTGATTCCATACATGTCCAGCTTCCGTGCTATGTCTAACAGCTGCATGTCTGCCTCTGCTGGAGATTTCCCTCTGTAAGGATACATACTTATTAATGACTGTCATCAAGCAACTATGCTAGCACGTAGGAGTTCCAGTATAAACCATATCAACAAGGGCAGGTTTACAATGGTAAAAATAAAAACATCGGAGTCCCATCTGCTCCACCTAGACTCATGATCAGAGGACCAATTACGCAGAAAGGATTTTCTTTTTTTATGAGTCTAATTACAGTGAAGAATAATTGGCACCAATTTTTTTATTTTTTTTTATTTACCATTGTTGACAAAAGATCGTTGACAAATGGAACCTAAGTAACTCTACAAGTCGACTTGAATACATTCCTGGCATGGCACAATACATAGCAATAGTATAACCAGGGCTCAAAATTTCCACTCGCCAGCTCGCATTTGGCGAGTGGAAATAAAGAGTGGATTTGTTTTTTTTAAAAAGCTCCACCTTTTATAATGAAAAAGAAGTCATTGTGCTGCAGTGCAGTGAATTTGCCCGGGCTGAGATAGTGTTATCAGTCTGCTGCAGGCAGGAGGAAGCATTTCTTCAGTCTCCTCTCCTCTGGTATGATCTGAAGGTCCATCGGTCGAACTCGATGGACATGTGTCTTTTTTCAACCTGACTAACTATGCAGTGGCGTAACAACCGGGGGGGCAGCAGGGGCGCGGGCACTATGTAACTGTGTAACTATGTAACCTTGACACTCTTTATAGCAATTAACAAGGTGTAAGGCTGCAGCAGAGGCTGATCTATGTCAGACATTGGTGAAGGTTCTCATATCCAGGGTATGGTAAAACAAGCAGTAGTCAGTCACATTGAGCTGGACTTGTCCTGTAATGTTACATATGTTTCACCACTCATCCGGTTCTAATTAGTGTCAGAAACATGATAAATGGTGTACCATCTTCAACACTACAGAACACGTCTGACTGAGTGTGACTAACTACTACTAGCTATATCTGTGTCAGACATTTGTAAACACAGACAAGAATTGCATAGGCCTCAGGGTTTACATAAGCATGCCATCTCAAAGCCAGCAACTCAATCCAGTAGGTATATGCTGAGCCTGGATGAATCCTGCACAAAGATGCCTCTGTCCTTTTGGGCAGAAAGGTTGATGAAGGCATTGTAAGGGGGGGGTGGAGTCTATGAGAGGTAATAGATACCTGTAAGTGTTACATTTAGCATGCATGCACGCACGCACTTAACATTAAAAGATATATCTGATGCTCTGTCCACATTATTACATTAATAAGAATGTTATAAATGATATGCAGAAAAAAAACCTAACCTGGTTGCTCCCCATCGGCCAAAGCCAACTTTTCCTACCTGCTCAGAAATGAGGCAAAACAAAATATTTGTATTTTTGTTCCCAAATGGGCCTGGTGGGTTCTCCACCTATTTTCCAAAGTTTGACATTGCAGGGAATTCCATTTAATGAAAGAGGTTACACTTACACGTGTCGCTGATAATATTTAAGGATCTTGTTGTCCAGATACTCCTGGTTTGGCAAGTACTGGTTCTGTTCCAAATGTTTCTTGGTGGCCTCCTCTTCATAATCTCCCAACTCAGCTGCAGTAACAGAAAACAAAATGCAAAAGTCTTCTGGCAGACACATATTGTATGTCCGTCTCTGAGAGGTGAATTCCTCTACCTACTTCTTAGAACAGTGCTATGCCAATAAAATATTACTTACCCTGAAGGATATAAGATGTCATTAAGGCACCACTGTAGTCATTGCAAGATAATCTCCCAGATGCCAAGTCTTTCTTTATTTGTAAAGCGAAGAGATACCTAAGTACAGTGAATACCAATTACAGGCAGTCCCCGGGTTACGAACAAGATAGGGTCTGTAGGTTTGTTCTTAAGTTGAATTTGTATGCAAGTTGGAACAGGCACATTGTTTAAGTGTAACTCCAGCCAAAAAAATGTTTTTAGTTTTGGATAGCATAGGAAAGGGTTTACCCCCTGTAATGTTTGTTTTGCTGTGTGTGCCCCTGTTCAGAAGATTTCACCTCACTTTCTGTCCCTGTGACAATTGGATTTTGACAATTTTGGCATGAGTGCGGTAGCATTACAACTACCACTGTTGTACAGTAATAGCCTCCGTTTGTAAGTAGGAGTCATATGTAAGTCGGATGTTTGTAACTCTCAGACTGCCTGTATACAGCACAAACAATGACAGCATGAAATAGGATTTCTACTGTTATACAGCTGAAATGGTTAAAGAAAAGCCCATCTCTTGCCAACTATTGATGACTGACACTCTGAAAGGGTGCCGCCCTCTATTACTTTCAAAGACTTAAGTCGCATCTTGTAAAAAATACTGTGCAGCATCTCTGCACACCTCCAATTTATCAAAGACAAATGAAAACTCCAGCCTGACCAATGACATGTGATGCTGGTCTCCTACGTCATTATTTGTATGACATAGGAAGTAACTGTCGTAGAACTGACCAACTTGCTAAAATCTATGACAGTATGAACAGGGGCACCCCGAGTTCGGGTGTCACCTGGAGCGGTTACTGGGTGATACCCCGCCGCGACGTAATCGCACATGCGCATGATGTCAGCGCGCATGTGCAGCGATCTTATTGATACCCATCGGTGGCCATCTTGGTGATGGGACGCCGGCAGAGAGAGGAGGGGACAGTCACCCGGCGGGATAAGGTATGCCACTGGGTCCCCTCCTCTCTCCCAAAACTTTTCAGAAGGGGGTGACACCAAAATGACTAGAAGTCATTTTGGTGTCACCCCTCCATTGGTGTCACCAGGGTGTGGGCACCTCCCTTTTGACGCCACTGAGTATGAATAAATTCAGTTCGAATGGTGACAATAAAGCTAAGCTTCAGGCAGATAGCTAAGTACACAGATGAAAAACATGCATGAGGGCTATTTTACCTGCCAAAGGATTTTCATGTCTGTTCATCTAGTCCTAAGATTTACACTGCCCTCTCACACAGCGCAGCCAGGCAGGTAGCAGCACTAAATACAGTGGTGTGCGCTCTTCGCCCACAGCCTGCTGACAGCAAGGCCTTGTTCATACCGAAAGCGTGTGCGTTCCAGAGCGGTAGCTGCTGGAACGCACCGCGTTCGCTAAGAAATTCCCCGCGCGCGCGTTCTGGGGCGGAAGGGTGAACAATGAATTCAATTCAAGCCCTGAAAGAGCAGAAGCAGACTGAAGAGGTCATCTCTCTGCTCACTGTTTACTCCTATCAAAATGTTTCCTGGTAACACATTTGCATGCAGCATACCTGATTGGCTCCTAGTCCTATGCCTCCCTTTCTCAGTCTGTGTGCTGTATCTAGGGGCTGATACTAAGTCGCAATCAAGTACTTACAATAGTTGGATTAAAGACTTGAATTTCATTTTTGGCTGGAGTTTAGCTCTACCATGAACATCTGCCCAGACTTTACACACTAAAGTATTTACAAATTCCAAACAAGCAGTAAAAACATTTAAAACAAACCCTTACTCACCTCTGTTGCTATAGGCATTGTGGAGAAATTCATCTTCAAAGTTCACAACAGAGGGACTGAATTTACAGCTCTTTTCCTATTACTTTCTGTGGCAAAAGATTCTTGGAAACCTTCCAAACATCCAATGTAAACACACATACTGTGCTTCCAGGCTGTTAGAAACCTATTGAAACACTTTAGAGTCTTTGTTGTGATCACGGAGGACAAATTACTGCACAGTACAAGCAGCTAGAAAGGTCAGAGATGGCTTGTTTTCAAGCTCTTTAAAGCGGACCTTTACCCTTATCTTTCAAATAACAACAAACACACCTTTAGAAATGTTTAGTGATGACATACTTCTAGATAATTGCAGGATTTGTATACTTTGCACACCTTATTTCTCTTTTCTTCCCCAGTCTTCTGACAGTGGCCATGTTTACTAAGATCTGATTGAAAACTGTAAATCTGCGCTTATGGGTTACACTTGGAGAACTAATAGATAATATTACAGCTGCTGCACTATAGACACTATGGTCAAGAATGTAAATAATAATGAATGTGCAGCGCTAGGGATCTACAGCTGGTTAAATGAGCCTAATCTAAGGTAATTAGGGGGCAATAGCAATGAATGTGCATAAATAAATAATCTCTCTTAATTAAACTTGTGCTAATATATATAACTTGTGAATTTGAGTGTAAGTCACTAACTCAGTAGCAACTATATATCAATATTGATCATAAAAGTGCAAAGGTGCTATCGTGCAATATAAAATAACATATAAATATATAGAAATATATGTACAAAACTATACATTCCTGAATTCTTAATTCAATATATACATGCAGTGAAAATATATTTTCCCATAAAAAATTGGATCATATCCAAAGTGATTCATTAATAATATTTAGTGAAACAGTCTTATTATTATATCCAACATGTGCAAAAAGGTCCAAAAGGGCTTGATAATCTTTTCCCACACAGCGTTTGTGTCCACGTCAGCAGCCCCTTCGGGGTGCGCACTCACCGCACTATTATTGTATATTAACAATAAGAAGCTGATTGGTAGACCACGAAGTCCTAGCGTCTGTCTTATAGGTTTTCCCAGCGGCGTTCCATAAGTCGATGGATTGCCAGAATTACAAGAAGAAACTCCTTATTGTATAGTATATAAAACCATTTATTAAAAAATATGTAGAACTCACATTTAAAATCGAAGTAACCGGCCTGTCAGACTCGGCATACAAATAGCCTGCACTTCCGTATTGTGTGTGGTATCGTGTAGGATAGGCCCGCCCGACGCGTTTCGTCACGTCTTCAGGGGGATCGCAGATAGGTTATTTATTTATGCACATTAATTGGTATTGCCCCCTAATTATCGTAGATTAGGCTCATTTAACCAGCTGTAGATCCCTAGCGCTGCACATTCATTATTATTTACTGAGATCAGATTACTAGCTCTCCTGTTACTTCCTGGATTTCTGGCACATGTGACTAGACATGTGACTAGGACATGTGATCATGCACATCATCTCAGGGTAGAAAAATTCCTTTCCCTGAGATCTCATGAGATTACCCAGCAATGCTCTGCTGATGACACCTGCTTGTTACAAGCATATTAATACTGTGCTGTCCATAGTCTGGGCACAGGTGCAGTTTAGATCTGTCAGGAAGACTTTCAGAGCTGATCCATGTATTACACTGTGCCTTCCACAAACTTACAATCACAGTCTATAATCAGCAATTGTTTAGATGTGTTATGTCACAAAAGTAGGAATAGTGTCCTGAGCAAAGCTAGAATAAAATAGAAAGTATTACCTAGTTAACTCGCCTCGCAGTTGCCCCGGGTCCACTGGGAAGAACTTCACCATGAACTTAAAAATGGTTTCTTTAGGATCTTAAAGAAAAAACAAATTCTTCACAAGGAAGCATAAAAGGTGCATTACATGAGATCATACGTGTATGAAACAAACTAGGCCGATCTTGTGGACAGTTATGTGGGTGAAACTTTTTAAAGTTTTACATATTTACTTTTCACAAACTTACTTTTCACCTGTTTGGTTATGGGCTTCAGAAGTCCCAGCCAAACCTGCAACAACAAGAAGAGGCAAACACTCAACTGCATGCTATCATTGAGAGCCAACCATGCATGCTAGGCAACTTCTTCCTGTCGTTGGCAAATAAGCAGACGCAGAGTAAATGTGCTCTGTAGTAGGTAATGACTATTAAAGTGTATGTCCACTGTTTGCCTGTCCTAACAAAGGGTTAAAGATCTGGAAGCATTGTATGAGGGGGAAGCTCAGAGGGTCCCTAGTTCTTCTATGAGGACAGCCAGAGTTTCCCGTCACTTGGATATTGTACAGAGAAGCTCCAAAGGCATCTCTGTAAAAAATAAGTCAAGGCAATTGGACTGGCTGTATTTTTCTTGAAGATGTTTCACTGGACAGCCAATCAGCTTTCTCAATTCAGAATGACTTGTACATAAATCTCTGGGAATAAATATGGTGAATGTCGCTCCAATCCACAGAATCCGTTAGTCGCAACCAGGTGTTGATTGGATTTGCATAATTGGAGCTAGGAGGTGTTAATAACCTGCCCAAAGGCATGCTACACAGACGCACCTAAAAGGTAAGAAATATTATTCTAAAATGATTTGCATATATATGTTTCTAAAAATGCTGTGTGAATGGGAACAGATGACAAACATACAGAGGGGGTTTCTCAGATTTGACTGCAAAAGTGGAAATACACTTTAAAGTTCAAATGCATAGATGTAAATATTGTGGCAGATTTTAGAGAAGGAACTGTACAAGCTTACTGAATACTGCTATGCAGTGAGCAAACCCGATATGTTCTGCAACCCTTTACACAAGCCAAGTTTATGACCTAAATCAGATTGTACAGAGAACACAGGGCAAGCAGTGTATGTAGAGGTAGTGAACCGGAATGTCCAGCATAGTGGTCTGCCCCATTGTTTGTTATATGTATGGCAGCAGGTGTATAATGTGCACAGAGTGGTTTAGGACCTTTGAAAACAAAAAAATATGTCCATCATGAGAAGGAAGCGGACTAGAGAACCTTGTATGTCGCCTGGTTCATATAAACTGCAGTGTACATAAACCAGAAAGTCTGAAAGATTTCAGTCTCTTACTAACAGATCGCTGATGGATACATTCTGAAAATCCTTTTCCATTGACATTGAGCTTTAGGAGCTGTTAGATGGATCTTGTGTGCTTTTACCTTTGGCTTCCAATGAGGCAAGTACTGATCATTTAGGCCCCATTCAATCTACACGTCAGCCTAACCAGGCAATAAAGAGGTGTTTTTGTTTGTACACATGACTTGTAGTATTGAAGCAGAAAAAAGAACCCAGGCGCACACCACTGGTCACGCTGAAAAACTCCTTTAATCAGACTTGCACAGCTCGGCTCAGCCCCACCCTTGGTCCACCTGTAACGCGTTTCACCCTATCTAGGGCTTAGTCATAGAGGTCATGGCTGTGAAGAAGCGGTGTTGCAACATGTTGAATTTCTTTTGGCTCCATATAATTTTAAATAGGAGTGCCTGAATAATATGTGTAAGCACGTGGTTTACAACCACTCCCATTAAAGACTAATGGCCAGAAATGCAGGATTCTGCCCCAAGAGAAACCCATGTACTTTTCCGAGCTTCATGAGGTGTTAAGCATCACAACACTCAGGGATGAACAGGCCCATTGGGACTAATGATGTTCAGAATTGTCACCCTTTGAGAATTGACAAACACTGAACAGGGTGTGAATAGGGCTTTAGTGTTAGGATTAGGTTAAACGTTAAATCCGTGTCACGTTATGGTTCAGGGGGCAATTACATATTAAATGGTAGGTTACGTGTGAGCATTAGGTGTAGTGTTAGGAATAAGTTACAGGTCAGGGGCATTCTTAATTAAATTGTCACTTGTTTTCAATATCAAAAGACAAGCCCTTTAGTGTAAGGTCTGTGCTATACCTGATCGGACTTCGGTTTACACAGTTGTTTTATGTACTGTAATTGAATGCTCAAGTTCTAATCAGGGCCAAGTTTTAGTGTTGTAACTTAGACCTACCACAAGATGGCGCTGTCACAGAACTATAACATTGACAGCAATAGAATTGCAACATGATATACATATCAGTACAAGATACTAAAATATTTTGTATAATAAACTTCAAAAACAACATATAAATGTATTAAAATATATAAGTCAGGGACGTTAGGGCCCTTAGACAGTGCCACATAAGATAGTATAGTTAAGCACTGTTTCTAGCAGATGCTCGATCACAGAATTGATTTGCAAGACTGAGCTAATTTGCTTGATTATGTGAATGATGATTTCTCTGATCTATGTAGAAGGATACATATCTGCAATACTTAGTACTTCTCACTTTCTCAACAAATTAATCATTTTAATGATCTCTATAGCTAATTATGCCTATTTAAGCATTTTTTTCCCCCAAGGTGTGAAAAGGTGTCCCCCTCTGAAGCTGCAGCGGCCGGGAGGAGAGAGAGGGAGCACTGACAGGTGTGAAACAAGCACTTAATCTCTCCCCTCTTGGCCGCTGCCAGTGGGGGGCATTTGCAAAGGTATCAGAGAGGCTTGGGGGGCAATTGCCACCCTGCCCTTGGGCCTAGTCAGCCCCTGGGTCAGACTAATCCAGCACGTTATTAATATGAGTGCCCCACTCAATATTGCCGCAAGCGAGGGGCATGCTGAGTTGGGCAACTCAGATTAAAAACTGGTGTACTGTGCGTCACACAGCTGGCTTCTGTATTCTGCATTGCACCACTGACTTCTGTACTGTGCGTTGTTACTGATCTTTGTACTCTGCGTCACACCACTGACCTGGCGGAATTAAGGCCGGGGCAGGGCAGGGGTTAGGTGGGGAAACTGGTGGCGAGTAACTTTTAAAGGAGAACTATGAGGTGAGTGCTTTTCACTCACCTCATAGTTCTAGCCGACCTGTGACAATGAGACTGTCACAGGTCGGCTCAGTAGATCGGGAGGTGAGCAAACACATACCGGCGTTCGCTCACCTCTCGATCCTGTCACGGCTCTCTGCCGTGACAGGGGAGGGGCTGGATTCCCCCCTCCCCGCTCTGATCCGACAGCTCTACAGCTCGCGGTATACTGAGCCCAGGGTGACGGGAGGACGCTAGTTTGTGTCCTCCCGTTACCCTAAGGAGAACTATTGGGAAAAGCCCTGACCCCATAGTTCTCTTTAAGGCCTGGCTAGTAGCTTAGGACTTGACATTTTGAGCCCTGTCCTAGAGGGCAGTATATGTAGGGCTCCTACAGTATATAAAACGCTGTGTAAACTGACAGAGGTGTGTGTGTGTGTGTGTGTGTTCGTGCGTGCATGGAAAGCAGATTGTTCTTTATAGAACACAACAGCTAACATTCAATAAGTCTTTTGTTGATTGGCTCTTCTCTTCTCAAAAAAAGTTTGGTCTGAAGATTTACCTATGGAAACACAACATCAAAGCTGGTAGTGTCTATTAAAGCCTGTCTCTTTAGCTAGATAGTACTCTGGGATCCTTTGTCATGTAATAAATATTTGGTTGTAGAACAATCCAACATAAAACACTTTAGAAATATATAATCGAAAAAAATAAATAAATAAATATGACCCCAAAGCAATTATGGTTTTCTTCTAAATATACAACTGAGAGGCCAATTACTTACATTGTATCCTGTGTTGTTTTTCAATTCCAGCCCAAAGTATTCTTTCTCTGTCAGGTTTAAATGGCTGCAACTCATGTTAAATAATTCCTTTCCAGGAGCTTTTTGCTGTAAAAACATAGAAGATATTAAATCATAAAATCTTTTTTCAAAAGCCACAGCACTCAAGCCCCTTTCACATGTGCGTGTCAGGAGAGGATCCGTCGACAGAGCCTCTCCGGATCACAGCAGTACGGATCGAGTACAGTTTTTTCCTCCATCTTGTATCCCTTTACATCAGATTACCCCCGGTCCGGCACGATCTGGTGTGTTGAAACGCATCAATGATCCATCTGTTTTACTGGATCTACTGGATCAGGTAAAGCGGAAATACTGGCAGGCGGACCCAATCAGACCGCTCATGTGAAAGGGGCCTAATTTAAAAATGTTCTGCATCAGCAGATTTGTTTGAGCATGTGCACATAGTACTGCCCATGTCCTGTACATAGAATTGCAGGGAAATGCACAATGCACATGCAGCCGTGCACAAATTAGCATGAAGGCGCGCAATAGCATGCAGGCCTATATAAACGGGCATGTAATATGGACAAATTGCTGAGTGGTCTTCAGCTTGTTCCCCGATTACCTGTGATCTGACCTGCTACCCTGTTTACCTGTAAATGACCCTTCTGACTTCTCTCTGAATCTCTACTTGCTTACTGAGCTATGAATTCTGCTTTCTGTGCTGTATACCTCTCAGACCAACTGATACTGACCTCGGCTTGTAACCGCAACTCTGCTCCTGGTTCCTGACTTGGCTCTCTGCTGCTCAGCTGTTACCTGCCTTCATTTGTGCTCCAGCTACACTCTTGTCACCTGCTTTGGTACCCTGGTATGCTGGTGTTGGGTGCTGGTCCTGGAGCATACAGTCACCCGGTCCACGCACCCGACCTCTACACAGATCCACTCGAGTTTACAACGCCGCCAATCATGCCACTCTGTGTACCACAATCCCTGTCACCACTTCCAAATGTGTCGGAAGAGAGGTGCAAGAAGCGTCCTCATTAGCTTGGTCTTCACCAAGGTATGTGAGACCTGAATTAGGGCTGGATGAGCACCGAGTGTCAGCATAACCTGTTAGCATTGAGGGTTGGCTCTGTCCTCACTGCAAACAGGTCACGCTGACACTTTTCAGCTTTTCCTGAATCCACTATTTATTATTGTTTCTCAAGCCCTGCAGAAGGCTGATTCCCCCAAAATGTGTAGGTTGTATTTGACATATCCATTGAAATAAACAACCTAGACTGACCATTTTTTTAAGAGGCCTTCCTAATCAAACATCCAGGATTTGGTCTTCTGTTGAGTGATCCCCCCCATCATGGCCAGAGAGGCAGCAGCCTTGGACCATAACCAAGACCAAACACTACACACATACAGTTATCAGTTTACTCCCCTTTAGGGGTACATACCCCATTGTTTTCAAATTCACAATAAAACCCATTCTTTCTTCTACTGGTCCAGCTCTACCTCAGATCTAGGAGTTCATTCTCTAAAGGGACTAAGATTGTCAGTGGTGTGCCCCAGTGCTCTTTATTGCAGCCAAATGCTGTTTAACTTGTTTATAAATGATAATGAGGTTGGAATTAAGAGTTCAAGTTCAGTGTTCACCAACATACCAAATTATACAGGGAAATACATTTGGCACAGGACTAGCAAAGTTACAAGATTTAGATCAAATAGGGATTGGGCGGTTTAGATGAGCTTCAGTATTGAAAAAGATAAAGTTATGCACTTGAGCGCTAAAAATATGCAACATACGCTTTGGAAGGGGCTCTTCTGGGTGAATCTGTGATGAAAAAGTATTTGGGGGTTATCATAGATCACAGACTCAGCAACAGCATGCAATGGAAACCTGCAGCCAACAAAGCTAGCAGAATACTCACACTCTCACATATACAGAGGTTGAACTTGATGGACCTGTGTATTCTTTTCAACCTTTCCAACTATGTAACTATATGTATCTAACTTCAGGCAAACCGCTAAATATACAATAAAAAAAAAAAAAGATGTGGACAGCCATTTCTGTGACACACACATCAGCTAATCAGTAATATTGCTCTGCTATGTCCTAATTTAGCATTCCTGCATCAGCCCCCTGGTCACTGGACAGAGGTAATGATAGGGTCTATACCACCCAACCTTACCGAATCTCACAGGACTGTCTTGGGATTACATCAAGTTTCCATGGTCCCGCAGATCCCAGCCATGTCGCGGAACCACGTGCTGAAATACTTTTGCACTCTGCTCTGTATTAATTCAGGAACTGCCAGGCAGAGTGATCTCCTGCTCAACTGTATCTGCATAGTTCTGGCAGTAACATCGCATGCAGTTGCTGGGGGAACAGAAAGGGATGCAAGCGTTTTTATTGCACTCCCACAGACCACCAATGACTAGAAACTGTGGGGTATTATTCCACTGGCCACCAATTACTAGAAACTGTGGGGGATTTTCCCCCTTGGGGGGAGAATTGTTCCTTTCATTGACGTGGACACTAGGAGGGAGATTCTGTCTACTAGCAGTATATATGACACTCATGTATATGTTCTATTTAATGACCCATCTACAGTCCTGATCAAGGTTCATTTCCTGTTTTCGGTGGCCAAAAACTCCCCGTAAACAAGAGATGATAAATTCTATAGGTCACCTGCAAACACTGCTGGCCAGTGGCAGAACTATACGGCAGCCACTATGGGGCCTGGGGCACGGGGTTGCCCGACCAGGATAAGGAACAAAGGGGTGCCCCTGATGCTGTGTGGGCCGTCTGGGTTGCTATGGCATCGCAGGCTGCTGGCTGTCACTGACAGCTGTGAGGTGGAACGCGCCGCTATCCAGATCACTGAGACCTGTCCGTGATCTGTGCAGCGGTGTGTCACTGCTGAGTCAGTGACAGCCGCAGCTGAGGTGGAGGAGGCCAGGTAGCAGTGGAGGAGGCGGGGGCCCGCCAACGACGACGAGGCAGGGCGGTGGAGAATGCCGACAGCGGATCGGGGCCGACAGGTAAGAGGTGTGCATCGATGTGACCAGCCCACCTGAGACCCTGCAGAGCCCACCATAGAGAGTCTGCAATGGCGTAACTAGAAACCACAGGGGCCCATACAAAATTTTGCTATGGGGCTCTGTGATTTCTAGCTCTGCCCCTGCTGCTGGCTAAGGCTTATGGGGGAGTGGGGGAGATCTTCTAGGTCAAAAACTGTGTACCATAACCAAGATATGAATACTCCAAGGCTATAGTTGTCCTGTAGTACTGTGGTCACAAGCCTTTGGTGCATTGCTTGAAACACAGATTTGAAAAAAGAAATGATATATACATCGTCTCAGAGACATTAGTGTTTTTCATGATGAAGATCTACTGTGGGTGTGATAAAGCGGTTAGTCTGGGGCACCTAATGAAGCAAACCTTAAAATAGGCCTAATAGATTAAAACATCTCTAGAGGTGATATAAAGACAAGGTGGATTATCAAGGAATGAAAGTACAACATAGTCCCAGTGTCATTTGGCACAGCCTAGGTATATCTCAGTATCACTTGAACTGTTTATTGGCGGAATAAGCATAACAAGTTTCCAGAAAACAAGAGATGTTGGATAAAATTGCTATGCTCTGGTATTCAGCTGCCTCTATAGTGACATGCTAATAGTGGGTTCTTCTGTACAATCATTCTAGTTCCTGTCGATGTAAGGAAGCCACATGTAATTAAAACAATTATAACGCTTACTAATGGAACATCTCATGTGCTCAGTGCCCTGAATATCTATAGAAATCAAAGACAATGCCAGCAAAGACTACAATCCTATTAACCCCTACAAAGATATGGAGTATATTAATGCCCATATCATGCATACATTTGTGTTATAGGAAGATGGGCAGGCAACTATTGGGAAAGGACCAGGAAATCTAAAATGAATGCAAATTTGTCAACAATAATCTTTACAAATATGCATGTCAAATAGCTAGACCTTTGTAGATGTTGAAATATAAAGGAAATCTGGTCTAATGGAGAAGGATATTGATTGAAAATGAGGAGCTTTGCAATCAAAGAATACTATTAATTAGTTGTAACACAGCTTGCCATGAACTGGACGAACAGCTGATATTCAGTACAGTATACAAGAAGAAGATTAGGTCTCTTCTGTGCTCACTCTGATACACTATGCTGATGGACTCCACCCATTACAAACTACAAAGCTCAAACGGCTTGCATTGTACCGTTATTTTTGTTTACTGGGTTGAAACCTATCCAGACAGAACAATAACAGAAGGAGAAGTGACCATACACTGAACAATTCTCATTTACATGACTTCTAGCAGTTAGCTATCTTCTTCTCTAGTAAGATATTTACATGCCCATGTTCTACATATACACATGTGCTGTAAACCGCATCACTGCTCTTACATTGGATGGAGAACAATGTTTTTTTGGTGTTACAAGTCTAACCTACCCAATATGCATTTTATATGACACATGATTTGAAGGCAACCTGTCATGAGTCAAATATATGAGATGCTCTTTCTAACTTTCTAATACTAGTTGTATGGCAGTCAAACAGATCTCCTAACTTTAATAATTCTGAGTCACTGACCTGTAAGCTGTGTGTAGCAAGTGAAGGTCTGTGAAGGTACACAGACCTACATACCTGTCTGGCTGTCATGCAACTCAACTGGAATAAAGTATGAAGGTGTGTGTACACCTTCACTGGCTACATGCAGGTTACAGTTCAGTGACTCAGACGTAATAAAGCCAGGAGATCTGCTTGACAGCCAGACATGAAATCTATGTATTTCTCTTAAAGGTTTCCTTTAAGAAAGGTAGTCTTAAACTTTAAAGGTTAAATGCAGCCTGAAGTGATATTTTATTTTGTTTGGAATCTGGTGGTCTGAACAATCCAGTGGGCAATATCAGCCTGCCGGGCCATGTTAGCTCTTTAGTGCAGTGAATTCAGGCAAAGTTTCCTGTAAAGGAAGTCCATATTTCTTTTGAATTTCTTTTGAATACTAACGGAGTATCTAAACATTAAAAAAGGTATTGCCAAAATATAAAACAGCAGCACTATATCTAAAGTTGAAACAAAGCAACCCAAAACCTAAATGTTACATAGTTACATAGTATTTGAGGTTGAATAAAGACATTAGTCCATCAAGTCCAACCTATTAGGATCTCATTCTTAGGAGTACCTGTACCCCTGTATATTACGGTCCCTTAAGAAATCGTCCAAAAGTTTCTTGAACAATTCCCCATTTTTTGCTGAAATCACTGTCTGTGGCAGTGAGTTCCAGACCCTACCCACTCTAACTGTAAAGAACCCCCTTCGCCCCTTGTGCTGGAATTTTTTTTCCACCAATTTTAGGTTATGGCCTCTAGTTTTTGTAATGGAGTTAATTTTAAACAGTTTATCGCTAATGTTGCTACCACCATTGAACATTTTGTACATGGAGATCATATCCCCCCTTAATCTCCTCACCTCCAATGTGAACATGTTTAAATTTAGTAGCCTCGTCTCGTAGCTTTAGTCCTCCATACCCCTAATTAGTTTGGTTGCCCTCCGCTGGACTTTTTCCAGCTCAATTACATATTTTCTTAGTACTGGTGACCAGAACTGGACCGCGTACTCCAGATGAGGTCGAACCAATGATCTATAAAGTGGCAAAATTATAGACTTGTCCCTGCAATACATCCCCTTTTTAATACAGGACAAAACCCTGCTAGCTTTGTTTACAGCAGGTCAAATGTGACCTCTTGAAGATTAAGGTGCTGTAAACTCTAACAACTAGAACCCACAATGCACTAGATAAATTAAGATTTGGGGACCTTGAGACTCCTTTGTATCCTAGAACCATCCATGACTTCCATACCTTTACCTCTAATAGGAAAGCACCCTCTCTGACCACCCTCTTACACCCTCTTTTCTATTCCTTCTCTCCCATTTCCACTCATCCTTTTATCTCTTGCTATTGCACTGGCTGCATAAGTAAGCAGTTAACTATCAAGTGATTTCCAACAACCAGCACTAAAAGAAAGCATATAGGTCATTGTACACATCTGTCTTAAAGCTGTGGATGGTTCCTAAGGATTTAAAAATAGAACACCCCTTGTTTATAAACCAAGTGGACATAATTGCTTATAATGGTCCGAAAACATCTCAGTTCTAACTCAGGAAAAGTTCACCTATGGCCACACAAGTCTACAACAGATGCAAAGAACACACACACACACACACACACACACAGTATTAATATATATTTTTTTAACATAACAAAAGAAATCCACTTGCATCCACCCAAAATCTTTGTAAATTCAGTGATCTATTCCAAAGGTCTGCAACAAGCAGATCATATTTTGAGAAAGTTAGAGAATATTAGAGAAAGCCCAAGTGATTCAAGATTGTTCACTGCTGCCTTCTTTACAGAATCATGTTAAGGAATGAGGTCTTGTCATGTATGAGTGCCTACCCCATGTGCCCCAGGCCACTCTCCCTTTCATCCTGCCTGAATTCACAAGCTCCTTTCATGCTAAGCACAATACCCTTCAAATGGATGAAATGCCTGCAAGTGAAGAACCAGATCTGTTCATACTCGAGAAGAATAGCTGGCATGCACAAGCTTTAATGGACACATTAGCTACAATAACATATACTTGACTACTGAGCTTGTTTCCTTTGCTCCAAAAAGTAGCTATATATAGATCTCTATGTGTGTAATATACAGACTGCCTCATCTTACAATACTAGATACATGCATGTAAAGTAAATACAATGTTCTCAGTATTGGCTCAACTCTCACATATGCTACATCAAAGGGAATGTATAACTATATTGGTGGGACAGAAAACAGAAATTGAACAAAAGCAATTAGGTTTTTCTACCTGAAACAAGGATATTACATTTAAACACAGAATACCTTAGAATTAATGAAAATATTTGTATTAAATTAATATTTGAGAACCACATAAGCCAGAGGGAACTAGAAGGATACCAAAACAATATTTATAGTGTAATATAACTGCAATATGTTTAGACAAGGTAAGCAGTTATTAGGATGAGTGTGTTCATATAAACTGGCTGTGCAAATCAGTGTGAAATAAAAGCTGGAGTAGCAGACTTGCCACCTCTTCAGTGTGTACATACTGTCAATAATATACAGCATCTGTCCAGTTATAGATAACATAGGTCACTCATTTTATACCAAGTCCTAATATATTTAGGAAAGTAACCATAAAAGTAAATGTCATGATTAAAGTAAAGTATTCTTGTGATCTTTCACTTGCATCCATGGTCACAGGTTATTTAACATTTCTGACTATACAAATGTCTTGGAATAATCTACTTGGAAAACCGATGACGCATATCAGGGCACAAACAAAAAAAAATGCAAAAAATCAGAAAGTCGATCATTTTCTGTGTTTATAAAATAATTTGATATATTATACAGAGCTGGCTCCTATAAATATAAGTCACTTCAATTTACTAAAAGATGAAGGTTTGTGTTTTTAAAGTGATTATCTGAGATCTGAGTAAATGCAAACAGCATTGTGAATGACATGATAGAGTCTGCAAGTATGTATTCATTTAAGTGAGAGCTTATACTACTATATACTCATTTCTAGCACTCTGTTAAATCCTGAACTGTCATGCATTTGATGGAGATGGGTGTGATAGATCTACTTACATCCACAACAAAGGTCTTCTGGGAGTCATCCAGAAACTGGACTTTCAAGTGAAGCATCCTGTAAGACTGTGTGACCTGCTGAGCAGCTTGGTGGCAGAATGTGCAGTGTCACAAGCTCTCCTCCAGCATATTCATCAGCTGCTGGTTTAGGATATGAGACGCTGCCTATGGACGGAACATCTACAAGCGGCACATAGAACACAGCATATTATAATGTAGGTATCATATTGTTGTTGGAAAAGCTGAAAGAATTTCTGCATTTGTACATTTGATCTTCATCGAACTCACAATCATTTACAAAACAAACATGTACCATTCGTTAAACAGAAGAAATGCACAAAAAGATGTTTCAATATGTGTCACAGTCTGTCTAAAAAGCAAAAAAAAGAAAGTCAGCAGCATGGTCACATTGTACATTGAAGGTGCTGTGTGCAGAAATATTGACATCACACAAGTTAAAACACTGACAATATACCAAATATCAATTCATGGTCACCTGAATTTGTCTGGTGCCCTATGCAGTTACCATGCCCCTGGTGAGCGCACCATGCAGTTGCCGTGTCCCTGCTAAAATGATCCACTCCGTTGCCATTCCCATTGCGGACTAGGCTGCACAGTTTTTATGGGAGTGGTAGAGTGGCCCATGCAAATGTTTTCCCCCTGGTGCTGTTCCCCAACTGATGTCCATGACTCCGACAGGATACAACATGTAGTCACCATGTCCAAGACCCAGATAGGGTAGTTTATGTGGTCACCTAGTCCCTGATTGTCAGAGTCCTTCCTTTACTAGCCACGTCCTTGACATGGCAAACATTGCACTAGTCATTTCCTAGGCTTGTGCTGTAAGCAGCTACAGTAGTTAGTCTTAGCCCTCTGCACAGAGATTTAATCTGGCAAATACCAGTGTATTCTGAATGAAAAGGTAATGACTATTGTTTTGATTAAGGTAAGCAGAAAGGGAACCCTTGTAGGGGAAACTATTCATAACAGATGGCTGCACAACATTTATAGTTCAAACGCATGTAAGGCCTCATTCACACTGTCGCACATATATGCGCATAGTGCAGCATATGCAAATAAATGGCTCCATACACATAGCCACGTATGGAGCCGTATATTTGCGTAGCGTAAAAATGTGCAAAAACAGAATGGAACCGAGATGCGCCTGGGCAGCGTATTTCTGCGTATTTTACGCGCATACACGCATGTTTGCGTGTGCACAGTTCATTAAAATTTCTATTACGAATGATGCATTCTGGGATTGCATATAGCACACGCGTATATGCGTATACATGCACGCATGTACGCAATATCCAATTTTGCTCTTGCGTTGTGTGTGAATGAGGCCTAAAAGGTTCACCTTTGCACCGATCAGTGTCACAGGGTAGAGGCCCAGGTCATGACAACCAGGCTCAAGGATCTGCAGATACAAGCAGCATTGTCACCCTAAGACAGTAAGTGTATTAGGACTGCAGAACACTTGTCTTTTTCAATAAGATAAGGGAAAGGTGTTCTGTAGACTTACATTTTCTGGTGACATTGTTAGAGATGTGGAGTGCACATAACACTGACTTTCTGCCAGAGTAAATAATTGTTGCAGGTAACAACATTCTCTCAATTATTTATTTAACAGACCAAAAGGATACAATTAGGAGAAAATCATTGTTTGGGGTTACACAAATTGTTATTGTTAATGTGTATTTCCACTTTTGCAGCCAACCTGGGATAACACATCTTATATTTGTTACATGTTCACATTTACATTGCATAATCTTGCAGTTTAATTAGCTTTTACTTGGGTCAGAGCTTTAAGGGTTAATATTTATTTGTGCTTCTATTTCCTTGAAATGTTATGGGGAGGTGTGATGGGTGAGGGGTCTGAGGTGGCCTCTCTATTAAAGAAGCTCATCAGATAAACACAATCCTCAAATTTCTGTCCCAAGACTTTCCATTGGGACAGACCACTGTGACAGGGCTAAGAAACACCTGGAGTCAGCTATCTTGTCTCTTAACAAAACATCTAAAAAAGGTGAGAATTCTTTTTAAAGATATTTGTCAGTATGCTGTGTGAACGAACATATAGAGGGGCTATCCTAAAATTGACTGCAAAAGTGGAAATACACTTGAAGTAACCAGCGTTTAGTTTAAACCTCCAGAACTGGCAGGAAGAGTGAAAAGCCGACATCTAGAAGGTACCTGCACATACCCGATATCTTCACGTGTGCCTCTGGAGCACCAAAACCCATGAAACTGTACACATAGCAAGCCAAAGCTGTGCTCCTTCTACAACAGGAAATGGCAGCTTTTATGTTTCTGTCCTGACAGGTTTCTTTTAATGACGACAGCCCCCAGAAATTGCACCCTAAACAAGAGTGCAGGAATGGCAACAGAAAGGGAGGGCGGCACCTTACTAAAGACTAATGCGGTGATGTGCACCATAAGTGTAAATCATATAACCTTTGCCCTTGACAGGAAGAGGTCAGCAGGTGAATGTGTGTAAGCCCCAAAGATCACCGGCTCTTATATGCTCTTTTTTGGTCTGTTAAAGAACTCCGGGAAAACTTTCTTAACCCTTGCAGTGGGGCAACACCCCCCCATTAAGTGCTTGTTTGTGTCTAGGTGCAAAAATAACAAAGCTATACTCACCTGATCCTCAGAGGCAGCTTGTTGTTAGACTGGTCCCTGCAGCCTCTTTTCCCCCCTCTGCTGCAGCGGTCTAAGGTCCGGGAGTCCTGTTCTATATAGTGTGAGGATGCCAAAGGACATACCATTGCTGCAGTGGAGGACAGAGGCTGGAAGGAGCGCTGTAAGAGCCGGCTGGCTGCGAGGTTCAGGTGAGTATAACTTATTTTTGACCCTAAACACAAACGAGCACTTAACCCTCACAGTGCAGGGGTAGCCCCACTGCAAAGGTTAAGAAAAAGTTTGCCCAGAAGTTTTTTTTTCTTCAAATATATCCTGGAAAGTGTTTTGTTCGATAAGTGCAAAAAAGATAGCGGTCCCAAGAAATCTAGTGCGCTGAATACAGCCTGTGCTGTTAAAAAGTTAGCATGGTTTTCAGTTCTCTCTGTGGACTACAGAACACCTCCCCTCTGTTGTGGAGGAGAGGGGGATAAAATCTGTAGCCCTAAAACACTACTTTTCCAATGGTGACGATGCTGCTTCTCAATAGATACCTTGCAATGAGTGAGCATTGTTACCCTAAGACAGGAAGTCTTAAAGTGATGTTCTTGGGGCTAGACAAACTTTAAAGCGGAAGTAAACCACTGATAAAGAAAATATACAAATTGGGCTCCCAGGGGTGTTTGCCATATTGCGATAGTATGCATACATGACTAGCAGGGAGAAGAGACTTCCACAGACTTTGATGCCATAAAAAAAGTTCTGTCCACACTTTATATATTTAGGCTTCACTTCCGCTTTAAAGTGCATTTTTTACATTTGCAGTCACATTTGAGAAAACCCCAGCACTATATGTTTGTGATGAGTTCCCATAAACACAACATGCTTAAAATAATTTCACCTTTTAGATATTTCTTTGGTGAAGGCCTTTGTGTAGATTCCAGGCTACTCTGAGCTGTTTAAAAGTAAACAGGAGGGACAAAGCAAGCTTCTTCTCATTAACAAAGTCACTAAGCTAACCAATTGTTGGGACAGAATGTTCAAATCTAGTTTACAACCGATAATGAGATCTGCCAGCATAGTACAGACAGCGATAATTCGAGTAA